TCTCTCTCTCTCTCTCTCTCTCTCTCTCTCTCTCTCTCTCTCTCTCTCTCTCTCTCTCTCTCTCTCTCTCTCTCTCTCTCTCTCTCTCACTGTGTAATAAAATACGAGTATTTAGGAGGTTAAACCACCAGTACTCCTTAAAGCCGCGGTGGTTAACAAGCCACGACAATGATGAACGGATGAGGCACTATGGGAGCGCCCAAATTCATGCGACTAGAAATGCTTATACTCTTATTTTATTTTTTTCCGGTTGCCCCAGTACTGGTGGTTTAAGTCGACTCTACATGTCCAATAGATGGGACACAATTCCATGTCCCACTTCCTCCTCCTTCTAACGACTGTTCCCCAGAACTCCGGATACGATAAAAAAAGTCAGATCGATCCGAATGCATCGGGCCTAATTCCTGATCCATCTACATGTAGATTGTTGTGTAATGAAGCACGGTCGTAAGATTAACCTGAGATTACCTGTAAACACAATTCATACTAACAACCCTAAACCAACCTTGGCCATCTCTCCCCATGAATAAACCATGTGACACATTTTTTCTCTTTCCCAATTCATGCAGTCCTAAAACCACCGCTTCATGACACCGCCCAACCACCCCCCCCCCCCTTAACCCACCCCCAAAAGAAGATAAAACAAAGTACTCGGATCTCAGCCTCTGGCCCTATGCATCGTCTCTGCTCTCCCTTCTCCCCCCTCCCTTAGTCTATGACACGAGCTTCCACATGCACAACCCTGTATACGTAGCCGACGAGGGCCGCATGACTGTGCATGCTCGGCCGAGCACCCGTGCTGGTCACCCGGCTGTCTGTCTGCCTGGGGTACCCCGGGCATGTAGAAACTCCAGAATTTTTATTTTATTTTTTCATCATGGGGTTTTCCTGTGCAATCTTTTTTTTTTTTTTTTTTTAAGGCTAATTTTTAAGCCCAACCAATTCAATTACCTGTTGAATCTGGACAGGACGGCCTTTCAGGCCTTTTTTATTGTCTCCTGTGCAATCTTAAATGAGGCAGATGTCAGTTCAAATTGAGAGAAAGAATATACATACAGCTGTCCCCCAATGAGGAGAAGACAGCTCTTAAAAATAAATAACATAGCAGCCGGAGTCCGGGATCTTGTGTTTTTTTTCGTTCGGTGTTTTCCCTTGGGGGGGTGTAGAAATGAGGCTCAAAAGGACTTTTCAGCCTTTCAGGGGTTTATGAACCACCAGTACTTCCGGGCCACTTTCGCGCATGTGGGGCTGGAAATGCCATGCGCGCCAGTCTGTGGAACTGCCAGTACAAAATTATTTTTCCTTTGGCTGCCACCACCAGCCATTGTCGTCCCAGTAGCCATGCCATTGTGGTCCAGTAGCGGGTAACTTCAATGGCCCCCGCTCCCCCCCCCCCCCCCCCCCCCCCCCCCCCCCCCCCCCCCCCCCCCCCCC